CAAAAACCACTCAAATTCCCTCTGCGTGGAGCTGGGCGTCTCCTCCCAGGATCTGCAGCGGTTCTGGGGGTCTGTTTGGGGTGGGAACGGGATTTAAAGCATCCCAAATGTGCGGGGATGGAGCAGCAGGGCTTTTTTGGGATTCAGCTGCTCCGTTGTTCCCCAAATCGCTGCGGAGAAACGTGAAAAATAATGTGAACAATTCACCCACCCTGGGGTTGGGAGGGAACAAATGTCACCCCCGGGGCTGGGAGGGAACAAATGTCACCCCCAGAGCTTCCTCCCCAATTTCTCCTCTGTCCCCACAGCCCAAACCCGAGAATGCCATCACCATCGCCGTGTCCTCGCGGGCGCTGTTCCGCATGGAGGAGGAGCAGAAGATTTACGCGGAGCAGGGAGTGGAGGCATACGTGAAATATCAGCTGGACCACGAGAACGAGCCCTTCCTGCCCGGAGCTGCCTTCCCCTTCGTCAAAGTGAGCGCCCCAAAAATTCTGGGAGCTGCTGGGGATGGAGGGATGGAGAGAACAGAGGGGAAAAAATCTCCCAGTGAGCGATGTGCTTCTTCCAGGGATGGATTTTCCATCTTGAGCCCAAGAATTGAGCAAATCATCTCCTTGGATCTCATTGAAAGTTTCCCTTTGGGGATCTGTCTTTTTGTTCTTTTTTTTAATTTATTTATTTTTTTTAAATTATTATTATTATTTCCACAATTTATTTATTCTTGTCAACTGGCTGAGTTTAGCCTTGCTACCGACTCGGCCAATTTTTAAATCTGACGTGTTGAAATGAAGCATTTCAAACTCGAAAAACACTTCTCACTCCTGTYCCAATTAGCACAGTTTTGGGTGCTGGAGCCCATTCCCAATGAATAAATTAATCAACTCTTTCCAGTGGCTCAAAAAAAAAAAACCACTTTTTCTACAACTTCCAGCTGATTTATTCTCATTTAACGACTCAAAACCTTCTGTGTTTGGAAACAGAATAGTCGCTAGGTGGATTTTTTTTTTCTTTTCCCCAAAAAAGAATTTATTTTTCCCCCCAAAAATAAATTATTTTTCTTGGCTCTTCATGCAGCTGGGGTGGGGTTTTGGTGACCAGGGGTGTTTTTTCTGGGTGGGAGAGGGGCCATACTTGGAGATGATCAGGTCCGTGGATTTTGTGACCAGGAGTGTTTTGTTGGGTGGGAAAGGGGTCAGGGTCACACCTGGGATGGGATTTTGGTGACCAGGAGTGTTTTTCTGGGTGCCAGGAGGTCAGGGTCATACCTGGGGCTGGTCAGATCCGTGGATTTGGTGACCAATGGTGCTTTGCTGGGTGAGAGGGGGGTCAGAGTCGCACCTGGGGTGGGATTTTGGTGACGAGAAGTGTTTTTCTGGGTGTCAGGGGGTCAGGGCCATACCTGGAGATGATCAGATCCGTGGATTTGGTGACCAGGAGTGTTTTGCTGAGTGGGAAGGAGGTCAGAGTTGCAGCTAGGGTGGGGGTTTTGGTGACCAGGAATGTTTTTCTGGTTGAGAGGGGGCTCAGGGCCACACCTGGGGTGGGATTTTGGTGACCAGGAGTGTTTTTCTGGGTGGGAAGGAGGTCAGGGTTGCAGCTGGGGTCGGGATTTTGGTGACCAGGAGTGTTTTTCTGGGTGGCAAGGGGGTCAGAGTCGCAGCTGCGGTGGGGTTTTGGTGACCAGGAGTGTTTTTCTGGGTGGGAAGGGGTCAGAGCCATCCTGGGGCTGGTCAGATCCGTGGATTTGGTGACCAGGGGTGTTTTGTTGAGTGGGAAGAAGGTCAGTGTCGCAGCTGGGGTGGAGTTTTGGTGACCAGGAGTGTTTTTCTGGGTGGGAAAGGGCTCAGGGTCACACCTGGGGTGGGATTTTGGTGACCAATGGTGTTTTGCTGGGTGGGAAAGGGGTCAGGATCACAACTGGGGTGGGGGTTTTGGTGACCAGGAGTGTTTTTCTGGGTGGGAAGGGGTCAGGGTCATACCTGGGGTGGGATTTTGGTGACCAGGAGTGTTTTTCTGGGTGAGAGGAAGGTCAGGCTCACACCTGGGGGGCCTGGCTGACCCCCACCCCGTGTCCCCGGGGTGCTGCAGGCGCTGGAGGCGGTGAACACTCAGCTCCGTGAGCTCTACCCCGACAGCGAGGAGCTCTTCGACATCGTCCTCATGACCAACAACCACGCCCAGGTTGGGGTTCGCCTCATCAACAGCATCAACCACTACGGTAAGATGGGGACAGAGCTTCCCTCGGTGGATTTTGGCATCAAAAAAAAGATGTTTTCTCCCGTTTTCCCCAGAAAATCTGGGTTTCGAGCGGGAATTTGCCGGTGGGGAGAGGCTTTGGCTACTGCCCCTGAACCAAAATGAACCCAAATCATTCCAGCAGCAAGGATGGGTTTTGGGGTGCAGCCAGAGTCACCCCAGGGTCCCTCTCACCCCGCAGATCTGTTCATCGAGAGGTTCTGCATGACGGGAGGGAACAGCCCCATCGGTTACCTCAAAGCCTATCACACCAACCTCTACCTCTCCTCCGACGCCGAGAAAGTGAGTGGGGCCATTGAAGAGGGTGAGTCTGGGGTCCAGCTCGGGGCGGGGGGCAGCGGGGGGAGCCTGGAGCCCGCAGGGGGGTGATCCCAGGAGGGATAACTCCCATATCCCTGTCCCTAAACTGATGAGCACTTAAGGTTTGCCTCGCCCCACGCCTCTGCSGCCAGTTTCCATAGAAATGAGCCTTTCCTCCGGCTCCACTGCCCTCCCGAGGCAAAGGCGGTGTTTTTCCTCCCTAATTCTTGCATGCAAAGGGTGATTTTGCCATCTGGGGGTTGGTTTTGTGCTGTGGAAGGTCTCGGGGCTGACTCCCGGGTGCATTTCCCGGCGGTGTTCCGCTCCCAGCGCGCCGCGTTCTGCCCCGCTCCTGGGCTGCCGAGCCTCCAGGACGGATCCTGGGACAGCTTCCACCTCTCTTTTTGTCCCCAGGGATCGCTGCCGCCACCATCTTCAGCCCCAGCAGGGACCTGGAGGTGTCGGAGAAGCAGCTGCGGGTGGCGTTCGACGGGGACGCCGTGCTCTTYTCGGACGAGTCGGAGCAGATCGTCAAAGCTCACGGGCTGGACATGTTCTTCGAGCACGAGAAGGAGCACGARAACAAACCCCTGGCGCAGGTGGGGCTGGGCTGAGGGCAGGAAAAGGCGCTGGGAGAGGGGCAGCATGCAGGGGATGAGCCAGAGCGGGGTGCAGGGTGGCTGTGGGGTCATTTTTGGGGTGCAAAGGGATAAGGGGTTTTCCAGCTGACGCCTTATCGGGTTTACCTAAACCAGAGGCTGGATAAAATCCTGAGAATCTGTTTATGGAAGGGTTTTTAGGGCCATTCAGAGCCAGTCCAACACCCACAATGGACAATGGCTCACGGGTTTTTCACCATTTCTCACTTTTGTCCATTTTGGGGCTGAATCCTCCAATTGCAGCTCAGCCGATGCAGTCATTGACTCCAAATTGGCTCCCCCCAATTCTCTGTTGTTTCCATCTCTTGGGGTCTGGGACAGTGAGATGTCCTTGAGTTTGGGGCTTGGAGAGGAATTGTTTTGTGTAAAAATGGGAGAGCAGTGGTTTAGAACTCTATATGGAGTCTGGAGTGATAAATTAGAGAATTATGGGGTTACAGAGACGTGGAGATGGAGAAGCTGAAATCCTAAAGCATCACAGCATGTCCAGGATTCGAGGGATGATCAGCACATGTCCTTTTAACCCTGCAGGGCCCTTTGAAAGGCTTCCTGGAGGCTCTGGGGAAGCTKCAGAAGAAATTCTACTCCAAGGGGCTGCGTTTGGAGTGTCCCATCCGCACGTACCTGGTGACGGCGCGCAGCGCTGCCAGCTCSGGGGCGCGCGCCCTAAAGACTCTGCGCAGTTGGGGCCTGGAGACGGACGAGGCTCTTTTCCTGGCCGGGGCACCCAAGGGCCCGCTGCTCAGGAAGATCAGACCCCACATTTTTTTCGATGATCAGATGTTCCACGTGGAAGGGGCGCAGGAGATGGGCGCCGTGGCGGCGCACGTGCCCTACGGCGTGGCGCAGCGGCACAAGCGGCCSAAAAACGAYGGCAAATAGAAACACGGACCTCATYCCTCATCCCCYGAYGGGGAGGGGAGGGTTTGATYTGGGAATRGGGGKTTTATSCCTCAGTTAGGGGCAGGGAGGTGAGGAAAAGCTCCCTCAAAGCCTCTGCTCAGCGGGATGTTGGCCCTGTCCCTTGTGGCATCGGAGGCTGCTCGGTGCCAGGGGATGCTTTCCCAGTTCAGGGGATGTTTTCCCAGTTCAGGACACATTTTCCCAGTTCTGGAGATGTTTTCCCAGTTCTGGAGACAATTTTCCCAGTTCTGGAGATGTTTTCCCAGTTCAGGAGACATTTTCCCAGGTCTGGAGATGTTTTCCCAGTTCAGGAGACATTTTCCCAGGTCTGGAGATGTTTTCCCAGTTCAGAAGATGTTTTCCCAGTTCTGGAGACATTTTTCCAGTTCTGAAGACATTTTCCCGGTTCTGGGGATGTTTTCCCAGTTCAGGAGTCATTTTCCCAGTTTTGGAGACATTTCCCCAGTTCAGGAGGTGTTTTCCCCATTCTGGAGATGTTTTCCTGGTTCAAGAAATGTTTTCCCAGTTCTGGAGACATTTTCCCAGTTCAGGGGATGTTCTCCCAGTTCAGGAGATGTTCTCCCAGTTCTGGAGACATTTTCCCAGTTTATGAGACATTTTCCCAGTTCATGAGACATTTTTCCAGTTCAGGAGATGTTTTCCCAGTTTGGGAAATGTTTTCCCAGCTCGTCTGCACTCCCTGCGCTTGCTTCAGACAAAACCCCTCAGGACGGGTCTGTCTCGCGTGGAAACTTCGTGCCAGGCAGGTTTAACCTATTTATTTAAAACCCCAAATRGCTCCCGGAGCCCTTTGGTGCAGCCCAAGCGAATGTTTAGGCTGAACTGTGAAACTGGAAAGTTGGGAGCACCCAAAAACCTTTCCGAGCAGCTTTGAAATTAAATTTTGTCCYTTTTAAATTAAATTAAGCTGTGATATTTTTCCTGCACAGCCCCAGCTGCTCCTCCCCTACCAGAAAACACTCCATGTCCATCCTCTCACCAAGATTTTGCCAAGCTTAAATTTGGAAAAAGAGAAACAAATATTTAACATATTTAAAATTAATAAAAAAAAAAAATCCTGTTTTCTGCTTGGAGCTTTGGGCTGGTGTATTGTTGGCCCAGGGTTTTTTACATTTGCGTTTCACACTTGCATGATTTAGCACTTGAAACGAATAATCTCAGTGAGGAATCCAAAGCCCAGCTTGTCCAAGGGCTGCAATTCAAGCCCAGGGCTTGAATTAAGTTAAAAATGGGTTCTGATATATTAGGGACATCATTTGAAGTCCATTTAGGTAAATCTGCAGAGAATTTCCAGCCCGGGGATTTCAATTAAAGGATTTTTTTTTCTCCCTTTCTAAGCCGAGTTTGATAATCTTTTTCTCCTCAGCCTCTCTAAAACCTCTGGTGTTTCCTAAAATAGACGCCTCTGTCAGCGATGCTGGGAGAGAAACCAAATCTCTGATTAAAAAACAGGATGGGGAATCAATTGGAGAGAAACTGGTGTGAAAATCACGCTGACATTTCTGCTCCAAGCCCTGTCCCAAAGGAGACACTCGGAAGGAAAATTTAAAGATTATTTCTTCCTTGTGGGGTTTTTTTTCATCTTTTTTTTTTTTTTTTTTTTTTTTTTTTTTTTTTTTTTTTTTTTTTTTTTTGCACAATGCCCCATGGCTGAGCAGAAAAGATGCTCAATATCATCAGAGCGATTTTCTACAAACTCCATGGGCTGAAATTTTCCATGTTCTGTGTCTGGCTCTTTCCAGGGAAGTTTCAGCACAAAAAGTGAGGCTGAAGCAGAACTTATCACTTATTTTGAGGAATTTATAAATATATAAATACATAAATATATGAATATATGAATATATGAATATATGAATAACCAAGCTGGTGATGCCTTCAGTGGCTCGGGAGACTTTTTCTCATTGCACTAAATCCTGCTCTAGCAGTGAAAAGCAAATTGCACTTTTCTCCCCCCCAAAAAAAAAATCATTGGGCAGACTGTTAATTGTGACATCTGAGTGACAAACACCCTGGGGACAGGGTTTTAGTGACCCTGTTTTGTGTACTCAGGATGGGGGCTCAGGAGAGGGTCCTGAGCTCCCTCCACCCTCCCGAATCCTTCCTGAGCAGGGAAGATTTTCCATTCCCACCGTGTCTACCCTTTTTCCTTTTATCCACGCTGCTTCCCCCATTTTTTTTTAATTTAATTTTTTTTTAATTTAATTTTTTTTTTAATCTTCTCCATCACCACACCTGGAAGATGTGGACTCGCTGCTCGTGCAAGTCCCTGGGCTGACAAATGGACTTTTCCTGCCGTGTGTTGCTGCTGTGGATTTAATTTGTCCCCATCCTGTGGGTTTTTTTTTTTTTTCCCACTTTAATGGAATCCCTCGGGGTGTTTTTCCCAAATAAACCGTGTTGGTCCCAGCCCGGCTCCCTCCGTTCCCACCACGAGTCTGAACTCCCTGCTTGGGAGGTTTTGTGGTGATGGGGTGGAGGAAAAAGGGGGTTTTGGGATTTAAAATAATTCAGAAAAAATGTGATTTAAGCACCTGGAGAGCTGTGGGGTTCCAGAGGTGGGATTTGTTGTGGTAAAACCGCCCCGCTCTGCTTCGTGAGCGGCTTTTGTGGGAACCCAAGCTCGTGATGGATAAAAATACAGCTTGGCAGGAGACTTTTGTCGGCTTGATCTTCTCCCAGCCAACAGGTGGGAGGCAGCAGAAGCTCAGCAGAGGAGATTTATGGCCGCTGAAGGGTTTTATCCGAACAGCGACACCGCGGTCCCGGCGCTGCCTCCTCTCCGCCAATGAGGGCAACAGATGGACCGAGGGGAAGCAACAAATTCTGCATCCGTCACCAAATATAGCCAAGGAATGTTCACAGGGGCAGCATCCCTGCGAGGGGTGTTCCTTTAGGGGTGGATGCCTCCCCCCAGCCCATCCCCGCTCCTGCTGTGTTCTCCCACCAGATGCCTGGAGGGAAAAAAAACCAAAAAAACAAACAAAAAAAAATCAAATTCCAGCGCAGATTCCAGGCTGTGCTGCACCAGGGCAAGTCCAGGTGGGTCCATCCGGCCCTGAGAGATCACGATGTCTTCAACAAAGCCAAAATCTGCCAAACCCTTCGTTCTGAAGGGGTCAGGGAGGGACAGGGGAGGTTYTGCAGGTGGATTTGGGATGCCTGGCTCGGCTCTGCCGCGAGATTTTGATCCTGCTGGCTTTTTTTTTCCGAGCTTTTCCCTTCGCCAGGCACGGCGGGGCTTTTCAGGGAGCGTGCTTTGAAATGAAGCCGGCGGAGGAGGAGGAGGAGGAGGAGGCAGAGCTGGTGGGAATTAACGCTGCCACTCAGCGATTGTCGGTGCAGATGTTCCCGAGGCAATCACGGCCCCAACAGCGGGAGCTGCTTTTCACCACGAATCCAGGATTTAACCCCAAAAACTCGTGGGGTGTCCTGGTGAGGGTGGGACACTCCTGRTGACCCTGGCAGGAGTGTGGGCTCYGCTCTCCTGCTCCTTCTCGTGCACCAGGGAAGTTGTGGCACCTCCCTGCCTCAGTTTCCCCATCACCGTGACAGRGATCAGAATGAMTCACRGAATTCCAGAATAGTTTGGGTGGGAAGGGACCTTAAATCTCATCCAGTTCCACCCCTGCCGTGGTCAGGGATGCTTTCCACGGCACCAGGCTGCTCCAAACCCCGTCCAACCTGGCTTYGGACGCTTYCTGGGATGGTGAATCCAAAACTGATGAATAATCCAGGGGGAATGTCCGGACTGGAGGATGATCCCATCTCCTTTGGGAGGGAAAGCAGAAATCCGGGAGCGCTCTGAAGAGCCCTGAAACCCCTGCAAGTCCCGGTGTGCTGGGACAGCACAAATCCAACAAATCCGGSTTTGTCCTGAGGCTTTGGCCGTGAAGGGAACTCCTCTGTTTAGTTCCACACCCTTCCCGGAGGGCGGAATCGGCGCCAACAACCCCGAGAGGGGACAGGGGGATGAAATGTCAGCGCAGGGGAGCTGGTGACAGGGTGACAGAAACCCCCGGAGCTGGCAGGACAGATAAGAGGACCTGGCGGCGGGAGAACGAGCAAAGGGCACTCGCTATCAGCCGTGCCAGGCTTTGAGCGCCCGGGCCACCTCGTCCTCTCGACGCCGCTATTTTTAGCCGCGGTTGCTGATGCCTCTGTCACCGGCACCTAAAATGGTCCCCGCTGAGCGCTCCCCGGGTTGGGCTCGGCCACTCCGCGCCACCGAGGCCACCAAAGGAGCMGCCACTCCCCGGGGCGGGCGCGGAGCCGCTGTCGGGACTCGCTGGCCGGAGGGGGGAGCCGGAACGTCCCGCTGAACGGAGGCGGCTCCGGGCGGGGTCAGAGCCTCGGGGATGCTCCGGAGGGTTCAGGGTTTGGGTTTTGGGGCTGGCCCTTCTACAGGAGGGGTTGGAGTGGCTTCATGCGGGGTCAGTGCCTCGGGGATGCTCTGGAAGGTTCGGGGTTTGGGATTTGGGGCTGGTCCCTCTCCAGGAGGAGCTGGTGCGGCTCCGTGCAGGGTCAGCGCTTCGGGGATGCTCCGGAGAGTTTGGGGTTTAGGGCTGACCCTTCGCCAGGAGGAGCTGGAGGGCTCCGTGCGGGGTCAGAGCCTCGGGGATGCTCCGAAGGGTTCTGGGTTTGGGGCTGGTCCCTCTCCAGGAGGAGTCGGTGGGGTCAATCCACCTTCCACCTCCCCAGAACTGGGAATCGCCTCCATCCCTCGGTGTTGACCCTTCAGGGAGCTGTGGGGTGGCTCTGTGGGAATAACCCTTTGCCTGCCGGGCTGGAGCAGCACTCACAGAGCAAAGATTTCAGAACCACAGAGCAAACCCACCCTGTTCCCTGCCCGGAGATCCCTTTTTTTTAAAAAAACTGCCTCTTTTTTCCCCACTCTGCCCAAAGCAGGAGCGACTGAGGCGGAGATCTCCCTGTCCTGGCGTTTTCCCATTCCTGCAGCGAAGGCTCCGTT